CTCTCTCTCTCTCTCTCTCTCTCTCTTTCTCCCTTTCTCCTCTCTCTCTCTTATAGTTGATGTGTGTATGTTTGTATTACAGGCTGGCTGAGGCAACAGATTGCAGTTTCCTTTACTGGCATAGAGTTGTCTTTCCCATCTACTTACAGGACGTGTTCGAAGGTGCCAGCGACTCCCGCCGCATCCACGTGAGTCCTGCCATCTAGTGTCCACAAAAACAACCATCCGAGACAACTGTCACTGTAGTAGATGTGTGTGTGTGTGTGTGCGTGTGTGTGCGTGCGTGCGTGCGTGCGTGCATGCGTGCACGTGTGTGCGTGGATGTGCATGTGCGTGTGCGTGTGCGTCTGTGTGTGTGGGTGCGCCTGCGTGCGTGTGTGCGTGTGTGTGGATGTGCGTGTGCGTGTGCGTCTGTGTGTGTGTGCGTGTGTGTGTGTGTGTGTGTGCGTGCGTGCGTGCATGCGTGTGCGTCTGTGTGTGTGGGTGCGCCTGCGTGCATGTGCGCATAAATTCATAGCAGTTTTGCAGTGATTCTAAGAACAGCATCTAAGCTTTTCTCTCTCCGCTCGCTGCTTCCATAGTACATGTTCGGGGCCCTGCGGGACTGTGTTGCGCCGTTGAAGCAGACCTGCCACCTGGAGTCTCCCCACCTACTCACCGAGGCGTTCGAGAAGGAAATGATGGCAAACGTGAAAGAGGTGAGCAATCAGACTGAGTGAGGTCTAACTCTGAGACTCGTCTCACATTAAAGTTAACGCAGCTTTTTTCCCCAGCTTTCCCCCAGCTTCCGAGTTTGCTACCTCCTCCCCCCCCCCACACACACACAATACCTCTCTTCAGTATTAAAATATGGAGTATATTGAAGTATAGAACTGTGGATTAGGGTATATAATATATATGCCTTCTTTTATATATATATATATTTATAGTCCTTTCTTTCCCCTGCTTTCTCCATTTCCGAGTTCGCTTAATCCCCATGCGAACAATACCTCGGTTCGGTTCAGTATCAGAATATTGAGTATATTGAAGTATATATATATTATATATTCCAACCCCGACAACCACGGTCATTGACCCCGCGACTTCACTCATATCGACCTCAACTTTGAACTCTGTTGTTGACCCCCGACCTCATGCATTTCGACCCCGACGACCTCCACTGTGACCTCTACCTTCAACCTCGGTGCCCTCACGCATTCTGATGTTAGATGGGTGTCATGGCGTTCGCACAGCCTTGAAAAGAGTCTTTGAATTTGAGGGGAGTCCTTGAAAGTACTTGAATTTAGTAAATGCTTGATTTTGGGGTTGAAATAGTCCTTGAATGTTCATGAAAATGTCTTTGAATTTGTTAGCAAATGAATCTTGCCTGCTAATAAAAAGATATCTTTGTACATACATAACTGCTTTAACCTCGAATTAAAATTGCGTTAAATGAGCTTAAAAGCGATAAGACACGATGACGTTAAATGTGATCACAACATTACTCAGTAAGTCCCCGAGTAAAATTCTGTCAGTTAATCAAGGTATGTTGTAGAAGCTCGAGACCGCCGTCATTCTTAGAAGGGTTTAAACAC